TTATCATCTCTCCTTTCTCTCCTTCCTTTTCCTTCTGTCCCTCTAAATCTCCCTCCCCCTTGCTGCTAGCTCCTCTCTCATTAGCAATCACGGTATTCAAAGGCTTATTCAGAAGTTGATGGGAATTGGAAACTCCTGCACAGGCACTAGAGAAACCATTAGTCGCCAAAATAGAATTCACAACAATACCTTGAAGATTTGGGTTGATGAAAGAGAGGTTCGAAGGCAGATCCTTATCAATCACCCTCAAACCCTCCACAGTAGGTGTTCCAAGTTGGGTTTCTATAGGTGCAATGCTGACAGTTTGAGCTGTTGATGGTGCCTCGACCCTTGTTGGTGTCTCTGTGTTCAACCTCTAGCTATTCTTCCTGTTCGTAATGCCCAACCCCTGTGATTGCCGCTGGTTTTGGTCGGCTCCCCCCCTTTCTGAGTTTGTGTCGTCCTCTTGGCCAGAACAGACCTGCACTGCTAAGATTTTGCTATCTAGCTTGCTCTGAGATCGTCGCTCATCTAACTGGAGATTGAAGAAACGGTCCAGAACACAGTCCTCCATTTCCAGCACTGCATCAGCCTGATGTTCAACAACACTTCCTATGCTATTTGACTTGTTGGAGCTTGAAAAGTACTCTTCTTCTTCTGAACTGCACCAATCCATGTCATTGTCTTCTTTTCACCCCTGCCTGGAAAATCTTGGGTTTGGATGCCCCACCGAGCCATTAGATCTGGGCATCCAATTCAGTTCGACCCCTTTCATGCCTGTGATGGCCCTTCCAGAGGTTGGGGACGAAGATGGACCACCACTTTGGTCTCTCAACGACTCACCCCTCAACCTCACGTGATTACTACACACCCTCGTGCCGGCTGGTGTCAACTGCGTGACCTGGTTGATCGGACCAAGCCCCGGTTCGGTCCATCGACTCCCTCTCGTCCGCGTGTTCTTGGGAACAGACATTCTCCTTCTCAGGTGGGCCCCGCACACCCCACAACTTTCCTCCCGACTTTAGGACTTCCTTATAGGAGTAAAACTTCGCCTTGCTATAGGGGTTATTTGAACAAAACTCCCTTTCTGAGAAAAAGCCCACCCTCTTCTTTTAAGTATGACTCACTCTTCTCTACCACACCCTCCACCTGTTTGCTTACGTGTCCTCGTTCTCTTTCCCTAATGCCCCCACATGTCACCCACCCAGCCACGTCAAGTTCTTCTTCAACCTTTGGACTTCTACTCCAGAGCGACACTTCCATTTCCGACGCTACCCATACTTTGCTGCAGCAACGTTCAGCAAAGATTTCAATCGAATGCAGAACTCTTTCCGGCTTGACACCCGCTACTCTTAATTGAGCAGCTCTGAGATCCAATTTTTTGAAGGAGACAAGCACCCCTCCCATGGCGATTGCCACTTTCGAGGAAGGATTTCTGCCACTGATTGAATGGCAGTCCAAGCAGTTTCACTTGAAAGCAACCGTCTACAAGTTCCACTGAGTTGCAGGAGGGCCACCAGCTTTCGACCAATATCAGCCCTTCTTTCATTTCTACAGTCGTAGACTCCAACTGTGCATTTCCCGCATCTAGCACTGCCTTCTTATCAGAAAAAGGGACTAGAATAGCCATCCATTCCAGGCCTAGTTTTTCCGTCACCTCCTCCAAGATCAGCTTCCAATCCTTCACTACATTCTTCGTTGATAAAATTAGCTTTCACTCCCAGTTACCTTTTTCCCCTTCGACCAAAATCTTTGGTATAGGCACAGAGCGAACAACCGACGTAGCTCCATTATTTTCTTCATTTTCTTCAGTCCCCGCTTTCTCCAATATTTTCCTCCAGACTTTCAAGTCCTTTTTCCTTCTCAGAGTATTTTCCTTCACTACAGGCTTCTTAGATTGTTCCTTCGCAGCCTTGGTCCAAATTCTTACTACAAACTGGTGAATCTCGTTTGCTACCTTTATCCAACCCTCCAGCCTTTTTCCTTCTGGTTTGATGATTATTTGTTTTTTCTTTTCTTCAAATCTTTCTTCTAACATCACGAACCACCGTTTGGAATTTCTCCTTCGTTCTGCAGCATACTCTTTCCTTGAAGTTCTGAAAGTATCTTTCCACCCCACAGACCAGCTAACATTGACTGCACCATCGAGAAAGCTTTGAAACCACACCAGAGCTTCACCGACCAGAAACACCATCCCTCTTGATCTTTCTCTAATCTTCACCGTCAACTCCTTCTGATGAAACATTTCTTCCAGTATCAGYTCTTTACTCTCCACCTTGATAGATCTTCTCCAGCTCCTTGCCGGTGCAAAAGCCTCYGCCATTTTTCTCCTTCCCTGTGCTCTGTGACGATGTAAAACTTCTTCCTTGAACTAAGAAGACCGATTTCTCATAGACCAAGTTTATTGGATGGTTTCAAGATTGGAACTGAGAGATTGACCATTTCTCATCTTCAATATGCTGATGGCGCATTGATCTTCATGGATGCATCTGTAGTGCAAGGTTTAAAACCTAACGTTGATGGGTGCAGCCTTTCTTGTATTCTCTTTTTCTTTTAATGAAATTGCTATTTACTATAAAAAAATATGAACTTTTTTCTTGTGAGTTTAAAAAGTAAAGGTTCTTTAACTGTTCTTAAAAAGCATTGATTCTTAAAATAAAATATAGAAAGCATGTTCTTGGTTGTGTAGAGTATTTTCTTGTTTCCAGAACTGAAACCAAAAACCACATTTTGAGTTTCTGGTTTCAAAAACATGTTTTCCTCTGGTGTTCAATATTATGTTTCATAAAGCATACAATATTTGCATATAGATACTAGCTTTTCTTTCTTGTATATTCCTTGTTAATTTGTTGGACCCAAATCCATTTAAATGTGAGTTGCTTTGGTATGATCAATAGAAGCTTTAAACCAGCACCTGTGAGAGTATGTTTAGGACTTGTCAGCCTTGTGAAGTGAAAACATGTTTTTATTCTAGAAGCATCCTTTTAGGTTTCAGAAACAAGATTATTTTTTCTGAATCAAGTTGAGAATGTTTTAACTTTGTTTTGGGAAAATGCATACCAAGTCCTCTGTTCTCAGTTGAGATCCAGGGACCTCGAGTTATGATGTATTGTAGGTGGTTTAGTGTGTTTGGCTCCTTGTCTTGGGGGGCTTTGGTTGTAATATGTTGTAATCTGGTACTCCATGAATAAAATGTTACCTTACTTTTCTCAAAAAAAAAATAAAAACTTGTTTTTCTTTTTTGCTGATGTGTTTTTTTAGAAACAAGAAAAGCAACAAACATTCATATTGGAGAACACTCCCTTAGAAATAACTTAAAAAAGGAACTCTAACAGCATTTCAATGGATAACAAAACGAGGGCATGGTAAGAGATGGAAACTGGTCAAGGATGGCTTACAGGCCCACAAACCCATTCCCCTGGTACAAGTCTAACCGTAACTATAAAAGAAAAGAAAAAAAAATGTCTAACCATCTACAATAAGGTATATAGGTGTTGACATTAAGCCCACAAGGATGCCTTCCTCTGATTCCAAGGTAGTACTAGGGTTGTGCTGCACCATTGGATCTAGCACTCAATCTGTTACTTGTTGCTAGCATTGCCACCAAATTGGAGATCTATAGGTAGTAGAGATCTATTTCATTGGATTTTCAAAAACTTCTGGTATATCCCATTCTCCTGGCCAGTTGGAGATGGTTTAAATAATGTTACAAGTTAAATTTAATGGTTTGACAATAGATATGCTTGATGGAACATATGGAATGATAACTATAGTTCTACCCAAAAAAAGATAACTGATAACTACATATTACCAATGGCAAGAGAATGGAGGACAATTTTGCTTTTATGAAACAATTAGTTTCGAGGCTGCTGGTTCACATATCATGACATCCGGAGTTCTAATTGTTTGTGTTCTATAGTCCATCAGTGTTTTGAAAGGCGTGGGAGGCGTACGCCTGGAGGCGCACCTCCAGGCGAGGCGCTCCCAAAACGCCCTGAGGCATATGCCAGAGGCGCTGACACCTCTGAGGCGTACGCCTCAGGTGCAAGAGGTGTACGCCTCTTGCGCTTTTCTCATGAGGCGTGCTAGAGGCGTATGCCTCTTGCGCCTCATGCACATCTGATATGAAAATACAGAAAAAAAAGAAAAAGAGGAAAGGAAAGGAAAAGAAAAGAAAGGGAAAGAAAAGGAAAGGAAAGAGAAGAAAAAAAGAGAAGGAAAGAAAAGAAAAGTAAGGGAAGGGAAGAAAAGATAAGGGGAAAGAAAATGGTTTGGCCCGTCCCTTCGGCTGGGAGGTGAAGAAAAAAATAGAAAAGGAAAGAAAAGAAAAGTAAGGGAAGGGAAGAAAATGGTTTTCCCCCTGTCCCTTCGGCTGGGTGGCTTCGCCCCCCAGACCCCCCCGCTCCCTTTTCGATGCAGCCCAATTTGTGTTTTTTTTTGAGTTAGGGGGGGTCTTACTCCGCTTTGGCTCTTCGCTTCGACAAGCCCCCCCCCTTTGAACTACTGTTATGCATCTTTATTCTTCTTTCCTTTTCATCCTCCTCATAACCCCCCTCCTCTTAAGGAGGCTAACGCCTCCTTGTGTTTGGGAGGCTTATGCCTCTTGCGTTCTGAATTACGCCTCACGCCTCTAGGTAGTGGAACGCCTAGTGTCATGCCTCCGCGTTTTAAAACACTGGTCCATCCCTAGGCATTGTCAAGTTTTAACAATGTAAGGGGGTGTTCACCAATATATATATATGTATATGATTTTGTTTTTTTATTTTTTTAAACTGCATCATCAGTAAAGTCATTTTGTTTTTAAAAAACAAAATCATACATATTGGCAAACACCCACAATGTTGGCAATTTTCTACCCGTGCAAGCAGGTATCATTTTTTAGACTTTAAAGGCTGGATATATTTTCTGTATCTTTAGACTATACTAGTGTATGTATGATTTTCCTTGATTTGACTTGAATATTTGTGTTATTTATCTCCAGCATTCTAGCTAATAATTCCTTATCTACTGGGTGCTTCTAGGTAAAGGAAGGTGAATCTGATCCGCTATTAAGCGTGGAAAATGGAACTGGGATTGTTACTGATGGTGGGGTTCCAAAAGCCCCTGTATGGAACTCAAACAAAGATTTGCATGCATAAAAAAACTTTCTATAGAAATTAATTCATACACCCAGAGCAAATTAATATGTAAGTGGTCAAGCCATGAAGATATTGGCATCAAGATTATGTCTCCAGGATTGCATTGACAAATGGTACAGGTGCGAGCTTGTTGAGATCAAGTAACTCCCGCTATTGTAGTAAGTGGAATTGAAAGTGCATTTTTCTCCTTTGCAGTTTTGACTATCATCTGTATAAACTAGAAAATTTGGTATGCCAACAGTCAAATTCGTTAGAATGGAATGCCTGTTTTTAATTTATCCATTTGAGTATAAAAGTATATTCTTGTTTGTGGTGCACTATGAAGTACTGAGTTTTAGTCTCCTGAGTTCTCTTCATTAGCGGTCATTGTAGTTACGTAGGCTGTAAGGAAAGAACTGAAGTTGAAAATCACTTCCTGAAAGCAATTTAATTCCACTTCGAATTCAATGAAGTGCTAAATCCCCCCTCCTTTTTTTCCTGCTCTTGGACAGAAATTTTTATTGCTGCAAATTAGTAATAGTAGGAGGAAGCTTTACATTCGTCTATGTATTAGTCATCCCCAAAACACGAAGGGTTTTTGAGATGGTGAGGATCTAAATTTAAACCTTTTTAAGGGATTTATTCCACGGACTTTTTAACTGTCAGTTGTCAGTTGAACAGGCTGGCTTCCAAATCGTCCTGGTTTCTTTCTGCAGTTTGAGTAAGCTCCATGGCCCTCTTAGCTTGGTACTTCCAGTCGGTGTGAAACAATGTATACATCATCATACACATACATGAAGCCTGAGCCGCAACAAGCCCGAACCACAGTCCCATAAAACCTATCTTCAACCAAAACCCCATGATAACCGCAACTGGTAATCCAACAAGGTAAAAGGAACCGAAGTTTATATTAGCCCCCACTTTGGGTCGTGCAGTTCCTATCAAAGCCCCACAGGCGGTTGTCTGTGGACAGTTACCGAGCTCGCAAAATCCCAAGATGGGAAGCACAGTGGACGTCAATTTTAGGATCTCTTGCTCAGCTGTATACATCTTTCCCCACGTGTATCTCACGGCAGTTGTGAAAGCGAAGGCTGAAAGACCACAGACAACTGCTACGAAAAGCCCGATAATGGTTGCCCATCGAGCCCTGGTAGGACGGCCAGCCCCCAATTCATGTCCCACACGAGTAGACAAGCCCAAGCTCAACGAGTAGGGGAAGGCATATATCAAGCTTGTTGTTTGCATTAGGATGCCCGTTGCAGCCACGCTGGCCTGTGGATTGGTTAGAAGCCCACATAGAAGAAGCATGATCTCATACCACCACCACTCCAGGCATACAGACAACACGCTTGGCAGTGTCAGCACAAGTAATGGACGCCAACCTTGAAAGCACGAGACAATCGATCCATCCCAAGGCTTTACTGCTGTTTTTGACAGAAGCAGATAAAGTAGCAAACCGAGGTTCAAGTTCAAAGTATTCCAGGCTGCGGCCAGAGCCACACCCCTCACACCCAAATTCAAATGTATCACAAGGAAGTAATTGATGGGAAGGTGGAGAGCCATTGCGCAAGTAGCAGTTAAGGTTAAAGGTGTGGTCAAGCCTTGGGTCCTTAAGAAAGTCCGTACGGGATGTAGATGAGCTTGGGCTAGCAAATCTGGAAGAGAGAAAGTGATGTAAACCTTAGCCGTTGATGTGATGATTGAGTCCTGACCTAACCACAGTAGTATGGGTTCCATGTATAGCCAGAGCAATGATATGGGTATGGTTGCAAGTAGCTGCAGAAAGACAGATCTTTTGTAGGTTTGACTGAGGACAACCCATCTCTTAGCTCCATATGCTTGACAACATATTGGTTCCATCCCCATGGCTAGTCCTCTCATGACTGAGTGGCCTGTTATGTTTGCAAACCCAATTGCAAGTGACCCACCAGCTAACTCAACGTCCCCCAGATGGCCCAAGAAGAGCATGGAGATGATTGACCGAGAGTATAAGAGCAAGCTTGTCATTAGAATTGGGCCTGCAATCTTCCCTAATAACGTTAACTCCTCTGCTACCTGGATTGATCAATACAGAATTTAAGTTCTCATCAGAGTAAGCTCGCCAAAGCACATGCAGCACATCATATTAAATTACAGACAGCTAGTAATGGAGAAGGAGAATAATGGAAAAGGTGGAACAGATACATAAACTTGGACTCCGAGGTTCATCAAATTCAGTAGTGATTTCATTTTCATGTTGCTCCACCACTCAAGTCAACGATCAGATTCTCGGGCTATCACCAAATCAAACTCTTGGTAGAACCATCAGATGAGCTGTTTTATGAGTTGGATCTCGTATAAAGCACAACATGAAATAAAACAAAAGCGATACTCCTATCTTGATGACATGAACGAACTGTAACATCTGTAGGTACAGAAGAACATTCTACACAAGTAGTGGTCATTTTCTGCAAAAGCATCCAACAATGACCATCTCATTCTCGTTGGTTTCAGGGTTTGGTGTTGCTGGGTCAATCACAATACACGTGCGTCTTTGTAGTCTCAGGAACGGATAATTAACCAAGCGTATACTCTATTTATCATTATATCTTTTATGCGAGTGACGTGATGGTGTCCTCAGGAAGTTAACTACTTAGCTATGATTATCTTGAGACCAACTGTTAATCGGAACATTTATTTGGAAGAATTAACTTGGAGCAAAGACCCACAATTCCACAAACAGAAATAGCTGCACCCAGAGCACTCAAACGTGAATATGGGTGGGTGGGATTCCTTTGAATGTCATGTTTTAACACTCAGCAGGATAAAGCCATGACAAGAAAGGGGAGTGGGGGTGTAGCTCAATACCATTTTTGCGTTTTCCAGCTCTTAACAACTCAACCATGGAGGTCCCATCTACTGCCATTACTACGTACGTACTATAGACCCTGAGCTCAAGAGGAATGAACCAGGTACGAATGGCCTTGTTCAATGTCTCTCTGCAACATTTCCTTTCATAGAATAGATTAGGTTTCATGCTTAGGATAGTAGGTTCATGCATGAAAACCATTTTGTTGGAATCTTCAGAGGAGCAGCAGATTCCAGTGGTAGCCTCTCCCTATACATGGCCTATCGGCTATCAGTCAGAGGTGAAATTTGCAACTTGCAAGTGGATGATTATGCCAACTCAGATCACAGTTTCATCGAAAATCGTTAAAATATCGTCGATCCTCTAACTAAATATGGAAGTAATGAGTCATCATCGTTAGCCACCTACATTTTGGATTCGAAAATAGAAGACTTGAGATTCCATCTTATAAAATTAACTTTTATAATTATATAGTATATGCGTATTAAAAAAACCTCTAAACATCTATCTCGAATCCAAGAGAAACTGGAAATTCGTGATAAACCCTTGAAAATAAAGATGGGCTCGTAGCTAGCTGAGAAAATTAAAGAAATAAAATCGGTGTTTCCAAAAATGTCATCCCCTCTTTCGAAATTGAGATGTCATCAAAATTTAAAACAATAGATGAATAGACACAAAAATAGTTCTACTCAAAAGTAAATTTTAAGGTTGTGGGTAAATTGACACTATTTTTTCTACATAGATAAAATTTTAATTATTGACTGTGGCAAAGAGCGACAACCTTGATATGACGGCAATTAACAGCAAGTGATGGTAATGATCCATCACAGCCATGAAAGGAATCCACATCAACCAGCTTCCCACGAAAGGACTGACCTTGATGGCTGATACGCATATTTTATGTGAAAACATAAATAAAAGACACGTACATGCAATATTATAAGCCTTTTCATTTAGAAATCAAAATAGCCACCACCTTGGTCAGGCGCAGGCCATCCAGCAACGAACAGTCGAACACAACTTTTCCGGCGGGTGTAGGCTTCCCTGAAAAACAGAGAATCCCCTCCACCCCCGCCGAACATTCAAACGTCCTCTCTCCCTCTCTCCCAGATACACCCAACACAAACAGTTTCCTTCCTTTGCCCTACTATAGACGTAGGTTTAAGCGATGGAAACTGTTAATTTCTTCTCTATACAGAAATAAAAACAGCCAAGTTGTTAAAGAACCCGTAAAAGCTTCAACCACACGGTTCCTCGCCCAGATGGAAAATGGTATAGAAGAAGAAAGGATTTGAAGATATCTGTATGTGTAAGAATATGATGGGATTACCTCGCTCATTGTCACCCGTTGGAAAATCCCGTTTATGATCTCATCATCTTCTTCTTCTCCTCCTCCTCTCTTCGTCTCATCGTTCTCTTCATCGTCCTTAGGGTCCAAAAGATCACCACATAAGACTGCTTGAGATTCATTGAGCGGGCACATGGTGAGACAAGTTGCAGAGCAGCACCCCACCTAAGGAAAAAAGAACACAAGGGACCAAAAGAAAAAAAAGAGAAGGGTTTTAGACTTTTTAGTGAATCAAAAATCTTCGCTTGATATTTAAAAACATCGGTAAGAGAGCAAACCTCAATGTCTGCAAAATCTTGTCAGATCGTCTGTTTTTTTGGTTACAGGCTCGAGGGTCTTGGCTCCATCGTTGTGGAAATATTATGTTGGAGGGAGACGAAGAAGAAAGAAACAATGCATGGTGAATGGACAGAAAATGGAACAATAACGGCTAAGCGGCCCTAGGCATTTATTTATATCAAGCATTCTATACATATCGTAGTATAGTTACTATAGTATATGGTTGCGAAAGGTGTACACATATCTTTGATATATTCGACATGATTTTTGCTTGCTTTATATACTAATTAAAATTCTAATGACAAGTTGTTATTATTGTTCTTATACTACAGTTACTACTAATACTCTTTGTTTGTGTAGTTCGTGCATTTTGGGATAAACAGATTACTGGTTTTCATCTTGAGGAAACCAATTAGGATATGTTTACAAAGAATGGGAGCTCCAATATTGCGTTATTTAATTTCCTGTAAGATACACATCTAATGGGTTCAGTGGAATTATCCAACTAGGACATACCTTTGTTTTAATCTTTATACTAACAACTTCGTTGAAGCAGATATATTAGAGAAAAATATGCTTCCATCAACCTAAGGAGCTGGTTATTGTGTGTGGTTACAAAACCTATACAGTTTAGTTTAGAAAGTTTATGATAATGCAGTCTTTAAGGTAAAAAGAGAAGAATTTTGTTGCATAGATGATTTTCCATTGCCCATTCTTTAGTTTGAAATCATATTGTTACGCAGCCTGAGTTCCTCATTCAAAGTTTTTTTTTTTTTTTGCCCATCCCCCATCCCCTTAACCCCTCAACCCTGGTGGCAGCGGGATTTGATCCCAAGTCCCTCCTATAACTTTTTTTTTTATAAGGATTTTCCACAATGGTGTTGTCATAGCCAATTCCAATAAAGAGCAAGAAAAGGAGTTCACTTTTGTTAGAACATGGTCTTAAATTTTTAACACAAGACTAAAGCTGTGAATCATGCATGGCCTTCGATTTATTGTTGTGACGTCACTTGATCTAATTCAAGCTGGGGCCGCAACATTACATCAATAAGGGTTTGATTTTGTGGTTTTAGCTAGCAGACATGGTTTACAAGAAATGAAGGAATAAGAGAAAGTTCAAGGCTTAATTCAATTGAAACTACTTTAATTTTTCTAGACCCATATGTTTATTGCAGGCGGGGAGACGATCACCTTAAATTTTATTAACCATTATCAAAAAGGGAGTAAAATCAATACAAGGGAGGATGTAGCTTGCCTTGCCCTAGGGAAATTGTCTAAAACTCACCATGAGTTTTCAACATTTCTCTTAAACTCACCACAACTTTTCAAAATGTCTAAAACTCACCTTCCATTAGTGTACCGTTAATGCTTCTTAACAGAGGTGTCCATGTCAACATAAATAATAATTTTCATGACCAAATTACCCTTGAAAAGTGAATTAGAGGAAAATTTGTCTTTTTCAGTTTTCAATTTTCTTGTTTTTTGCATCTTTAGTGTTTTGTTATAATTTCCAATATTTTTTATAGTTTCTTTTTTTTTTTTTTTACATTTTTCTATTTCTACAATCTATAAATTTTCCTGTATTTTTGTTATTTATTTACAATTTCTATGCTTTTCTATATTTTTTGGTGTTTTTTCTACAATTTTTATTTTCTGATTTTGTTTTTCAATTTCTATAGTTTCTATAATTTGAAAATATTTTTTATTTGTTTGCAATTTCTATAATTTTTTATATTTTTTTTTGTAATTTCTATGTTTTTATGTATTTTATATTTGAAAATGTTTTTTTGAACTTTTTCTTTTCTCATGTCTAAATATTAAAATGGTAATATATTAACACCCATTAATTTATTTTGTATATATTTTATATTTTTCTATGAAGGTTAAAATGGTAATATAATAACACTCGTTAATCAGTTTAACGTCAAATTAGCAACATGGTGAGTTTTTGACATTTTGAAAAGTTGGGGTGAATTTAAGAGAAATGCTGAATACTCATGGTGAGTTTTGGACAATTTCCCAAAATGAAAATACTTTAATTTAAAATCAACTTGCCTCAAGGCTACAACTTGTCCCGTTTATATAGAGGTAAACCCAACTACCTCTTTAATGACTACATAAATGTCCTGAGAACTTTAATTGACAACTTCCAAGGTAACAACTAACAAAACTTACTCCTAACCACATGTTTGCCCAAAATCAAACACAACCAATTCTAAGAAAGAAAAGACTATAACTGAGGAAACCACCCATTTATGGCTAGAATTAGGTTCATTCATAAGCCCATAAGGCCTTCTAAAAGGGATGGAGTCATAATTTGGTGTTTCACCATCATATAGATCAATATATGCTCTTCCATCTGAAATTATTGCATTTTGAAATTAATCATTGTTCTTTTTTATGAAATTTGACTTCTCAAAAAAAAAAAAAAAAGAAAAACTAAAGTAAGTAGACCATGCGATTTTTTTTTAACATGAATGGTTACTTTTTTATTTATTATGTGGTTTCTGCACTATACTTGAACTATATATATATTTATTTTGGATTGGTACAATTTTAAATACACCACCTTATACAAAGTTTTTAATTGTGTGAGGTACTTAGTTCATGCCAAACAAAAGAATGTTTTTTGGAATATGGAATACATCATCAAAATTTTAGTTCATCATTTATCACACATACACATAACATACATATAGTCAAATTTCTTCCATTGCACTCTTCTATAACTTGGCTTTCTATTTTTATGGAAAAATCTTCTAAGATATTTGAAATAATATATACATATAGTTATATATTTTTCATTAATTCTGGCTAAAAGTATTACTAATTTATATAAAAAATTTGAGCAACTTACAAAATACATCACTTTTGTCCATGAAAACTCATGAAATTTGTTTAAAATTAAAAAAATGGCCCTATATGAGGCTAGAAATGGAAACTTATTAGAATTTTACATGAGTATTGATTTGGGCATACCCTATTTTCAGAAACTGGAGCGTATTTGAAATAAAAGTGACCCTATTAATGATGATAAAAATTATTAATTTATAAGAATGTCATTTCCATATAGTTGTTCTGAAGTATTAACAAAGGGTGTTGCTCATTTATCAAAATAGGGTGTGCCCAACTCACCTTATTCATTAACTAGCAGTGGCCCATGCCCCGTGCGATGCACATGCTACTGTTTTAAAATATATTTTTTAAGAGAAAATATGAAGTACTAGTGATTCACCAAACTTATTGAGCTTCAGACTTATTCTTTTTTTATATAGCTTATATATTATAATAAGTACATAAATCAAATGATTAGCATGGGAATAACCAATTGAACTGATGAAAATAACCAAAGGCTTGCATTAAGTGCTTTCTTACTCCATTTTATTATTGATCCTAAATAATTCATAAAACAAATCTACATTAAATTAATAAAAAATAGATAAAAATCTGATAACCCATGAAAAGGAGTAATGGTTTTTTTAGACTTTTATACAAGAAGAAGATTTGGTTCACCCCATGTAATGGGTGTAAATTCATCGAGTAAGTGTGGATTTTATGAGAGACAATGAAGACTCATGAGAATTTTCATTTGGACTTGTTTTATTTTTAATAATTATATATATATGAGAATGAAGACCCCTCACCTCCCCCCTTTCCTCTTTCTATTATATATACCCATATGGCAGGGGTTATGGTGTTAAAACTTGTCATGTAACAAAAGAGCGACACATCGAACATGTGTAACATTTCTTGTCCAAATGAGTACTGTTTGCTGAGTGATTCTTTTAGCCAACTGGTCCCACTCAAATTAACAATATAAATAACCAACTAAACAACACTCATATATATATATATATATATGTATGGTAAAAACTAGACAATTTTAGAAGAAATGGGGTGAGATATATAAGCTGCATTTAGAGATGGAAAGAACAAACCCTTCTACTGGTTATCAACCAAATCTAATAGTTATTAATCCAAGCATTTGGCCTCAACTCTCAATAGAGCTGAACCTCATCTTCAAAGGGAAATGTATATGGTAAGAGTAATTAACATGAGACATTATGAGAACTAGTCCTCTTTGGTCTTTTTAGGAAGCTAGCCATGTGAGGATCCATCATTTTTAAGTATAAACTAATTAATTAAGCACAAACCTTGTCTTATTGCACTGTGATCTGTGGGCATAACTTTTTAAATCATGGAGAAAATCATTTTTTAACTCTCCAAAAGTTCAAAGTAATGTATTGTGGAGACATCAGTTGAATTCATATTTCAAAAATTATTATTATTTTTAATTTGGTAGAATATTTCAACAATTAATTATAGATTATACAAATGCATATTTTAAAACCAGAAAAAAAAAGTCAACTTTAATTTGTTACTACTTTGGCTACCTTTATCACACTCTGAAAGTTCGGATCATGGGGTTCAATTCAAACCTGTTATAATAATTTTTCTTTGATTGTTTTTTGGCTAATGCGCAGCACATATTAATCCATCGCTGAGGTGGCTAGCTCTTGGGGCGCACCCATCCACCCATATGCGCTCTCAGAATCCAGGTCACATAAATTGGCCCTAGCTGTACGATGTACGGTTTTCTGGTCAGGTTTGACTCAGCTGGTTGTAACAGGAAAACCATCCCTTGACACTTGACAGGTCGTCTCCTCTTTAATTTGTACTCTTAATATTAAATATTTTTTGTTTTAAAAATTTACTTAATCAATGCGGAGGAAGCATTTGAAATTACTAGTTAATTAGGAATGGTGAAGCACCTTAGGGGATTATGATGAACAATAATGTTTGTAGTTATTATATTTAATTAATTTATTATTTACCACCTTCTAGACGATTAGATATCTTAATTAATAATTTAGAAAATCCTCATTGTGGGTCTTCCTAGTACTATTAATTTAACAAATTAAAAAATAAATTGGATAAGAAAATATGTCAAAAGCTGGCCTTCATTATCATCACTAGCATCACTTAGTACTTGTGTGTAGCAGTGATAGCTAATGGATGCCATGAGAGCATTTGCATCCACTCCTATATTTTGGTGCATGCATGGTTACTGGTTGGGTT